GAGTCTTTCATGGATTTTCTATAAGTTTCTTACTAAAATGCTTTATGTTTTTAACATTTTTTGTCTGATTATATTCCCTATGCTCTCAGTACCCTTTATGAATTTTGCGTTCCCAAGAATTTCTTTTTCTTTTTTTTCACTTGCCTAGAAGATAAGTAAAGAGGCAGGATAACACAGAGGAAAATCAATGGGCATGGATTGAGATGCAAACTGGTAAGTGGCTCTGGAGCTTAGCTTTTCCTTTCATATATTAGGAAATGAGGCTTGATGATAGTTTTCAAATCTTAAATGAAATTCCAATATATGAAACAAGTAAGTGGGACTTTAAAAATTAACACTAAAATCATTTTAAGATTTATCTATTTATTTGAGAGAGAGAGAGAGCACTTGGGAGAGGGGCAGAGGGAGAGAGAGAATCCTCAAGCAGACTCCCTACTGAACATGAAACCCACCAAGGGCTTGATCCCAAGACCCTGACAGCATGCCCTGAGCTGAAACCAATAGCCAGCTGCCCGACTGAGCCACCTAGGCGCCCCAACTCTAAAATCATTCTATGTTCAAATTTAGATCATTTACTTACCATAATGACAGTGAAAACAAAGCAATTTTGATTAACACAAATGTTTAAAGTCAGGAGTTGAGCTTACTTCTGCAGCTGGTTTTAATTGCTCTATTTGAAAAACAATTCACCCAAAGAGGTAGTTATATGCATTTCTAACCCACTGTTTTTTAACCCACTGAGCCACCCAGGCACCCCCAGTTACATGCATTTCTAAACAAGAGGCTTGCAATCTGAGTAGTTTAAAATAATTTTTATCCGGAGGTCTGCACAAAAACCACTTAACCTTATAGTACTTTAAAGCACCAGTGCACTATCATATATTAACATGGTTTGGAACATTTATGAATGCATACATTTAATTAAATTGTTGCAGTTTTTAAAAATTCAAAGACACTTAAAAACATGAAACAATAATTTGCCAACTCTCTGAAGACCTCTCTGGAAGCTAGTTTTGTGAAAAATAATATGAAAACTCTGGCCCATAGCATGTGTAAGATTCTAACAAAGGTAGCAATGTTAAGTCTGACAGAAAAAGACCTGTGGCATCACCTTACTACCATTTTTACATTATCAGGATTGGATGAGAAGATAAGGCAAAGGCACCATTAACAGAGTGACTAACAGAATGAGCTCTGAAATAAGACATGGATTGGACACTGAGCATGGCAACAATTTCTATAGCCTTGGGCAAACTGATTGACCTAAGTCTCATTTTCCTCATCCTTAAAATGAGAATGAATAGTACCTGTCTCTATAACCACTGTAAAGATTAAATGAGGAAAATGCAAAAATGAAGTTTGGATGACCTTATGTGTGTGGCTTTAAAAAAAAAAAATGAAAAAGAATGTTCAGATCTCTGGTATTTCTGAATCTGTGGAAGGTCTGTATAACTCAGCCTCAGACACAACTAATATGTAGACCATCCAACTAAAAAAGAGTTTTGGGGGAGTGCCTGGGTGTCTCAGTTGGTTGAGTGACTGACTCTTGGTTTCGGCTCAGATCATGATCTCAGGGTCATGAGATTGATTCCCACATTGGGCTCCACTCAGCAGGGAGTCTGCCTGAACATTTTCTCCCTCTGGCCCTCCCCTGACTTGTGCATGTACATTTCTCTCCTTCAAGTAAATAAATCTTTTTTAAGAGAGTTTTTGGTTCTAAGATTCTCATTCAAATCAAGACATTAGCTAAATGGCAGACTAGGAAGATACAGATTCTCATTTGTACGTAAGGATGGTTCAACATATGAAAATCAATCAATACAATACATTCCATTAATAGAATAAAGGAAAAAACCCACATGATCCTCTTAATTGAAGCAGAAAAAGTGTCTGACAAAATTCAACAATCTTTCATGATAAAAACACTCAGCAAACTAGAAAAAGAAGAAACTACTTCAACATAATCAAGGCCATAGATGAAAAGCCAACAGTGAACATCCTGTTCAATGGTGAGAGACTGAAATTTTTTCTCTAAAATCAGTAACAAGACAATGACATCCACTTTCACTACTCCAATTCATCACAGAAGTTCTACCCAGTGCAACTAGGCAAGGAAAAAAAAAAAAAGGCATCCAAACTGAAAGAAGTAAAATTATCTCTGTTGCATACAACATGATCTCACATGTAGAAAATCATAAAATATCACAAAAAACCCTGTTTAGAATAAACAGCAAAGTAGCAGGATACAAAATCAATGCACAAAAATCAGTAGCATGTCTATATATAACAATGAACAATCTGAAAAGGAAATTAAGGTAACAATTTCACTGAAAATAGCATGAAAAAGAATAAAATACTCAAGAATTAACTTAACCAAGGAAGGCATGTAAGCTGACAACTATAAAACATTCTGAAAGAAATGAAAGAAGATACAATTAAATGGAAAGACAACGCACTTCATGGATTGGAAAATGTTAAGACGTTAATACTAACCAAAGCAATCTACAGATTCAAAGCAATCCCTATCAAAATCCCAATGACATTTTTTTGCAGAAACAGAAAATTCACACTAAAATTCAAATGGAATATCAAGGGAATGTGAATAGCCAAAACAATCTTGAAAAAGAGTAACAAAGTTACAGGTATCAAACTTACTGATTTCAAAACTTATTACAAAGTTACAGTAATCAAACAGTATGGTACTGGCACAAAGATAGACATTTACAACAGTGGAATAGAAGAGAGAGTCCAGAAATAAACCCTTGTGTATATAGTCAAATGATTTTCTACAAGGATGCCAAGACCATTCAATGGGGAAAGGTCAAGTCCTTTCAACAAATGGTGTGGGAAAACTGAAAATACACTTTTAAAAGAATGAAGTTGGACTCTTACTTTACCTTACAACAAATATAAAAATTAACTCAAAATGCATCAAAGAACTAAATGCAAGACCTAAAGCTATAAAACTTTTAGAAGAAGAAAACACAGGGAAAACTCTCATGACATTGGACTTAGCTACACTTTCTTGGAATGACACTAAACGCATAAGCAAGAAAAGGAAAAGTAGATAAACTGGATTTGTGATGGTTGCACAACAAAAGCTACCTTCTGCTTTCAAACCATTCATGACTTACCCTAAATGGAGGTCATCTCCCTTTCCTTTAAATTTGTGCAGCTTTAATGAACTTCGATGGCACTTAGCATTCCAGTCAAGAGTTAATTAGAGTTGACCCTCTGAACAACGTGGGTATGGAGAGTGTGGAGTCATTTATATGCAGATTTTTCTCAATGAATGCAGCACCGTACTGTCAATGTATTTTCCTTATGATTTTCTCAATACTGTTTTCTCTAGCTTATTTTATTGTAAGAATACATATAACATACAAAATATGTGTTAACTGACTGTTTACGTTATCGGTAAGGCTGCCAGTCAACATCAGGATATTAGTAAAGGTTTTGGGGAATCAGCGGTTATACGCAAATAAGCAACAGCATGTTGGGGGAGGGACAGCATCCCTAACCCCCATATTGTAAAAGGGTCACCTGTATAAATATTTTAACTTTTCATTTTATTTTCTTGGCTTATCCTTTCTAATCATACAATATCCCTAGCTATATATTAATTCATCAGCTCAATAATGAGAGTTTAAAAAAAGCACATGTATTTTAAAACTATATTAATTTAACCACTGTTACTACAATAGCCTTTTAGAAATCTTATTTGCTGTTAATTCTAAGTTTTGGTTTGAATCAATACCCACCACAACGTTAAATCTGGTTTTCTACATATCTGCTTTTTATACTCAATTCCTTTTGTTACTCATATTGGAAGTTAAATTTCAACCTGAAAACAACTCACACTGCTAAATCTCATCTTGTTTTAATTTGTACAATACCAGAAATTTAAATTGTGAGGGCATTTCTACAAATCTTTCTCTATGCTCATAATCCTCAACTTATCATATCAGCAAATTTGTGTACTTAATAACTCACCCTATTTACATCTGGAAAAATAAGGAATCCTGTTACCAGTATGATACCTGAGGTATTCACATGTTTGAGTCTGCTTCCCTCTGATTCCCTGCTCTCCCACACAATAGTTGGTCTGTTTTATTTTTAAATGAATAGTGAGAAAGTTGCAGAAGCTTTTAGACTCTGTCAGACTTTGGTTTGAATTTCAGCTTCAACTGGTTCAAATCTAGTAAATTGTATAATCTTGATCAAGTTACTTAAAGTTCCGGTCCTCAGTATTCTGATCTTTAAAATGGAAATATTACTTAAAAGGATAAATGGAAAATTAACTGCCATAAATAAAGCCCGAAGACTGGACACTAGAGTAACATTTCCATTTTCTCTGTGTTATTAAAAGATCTCACCCACTACTTGTAAAGCTATCATTATTACCTACTGGAAGCAATCTATAAGTTTAGGCCAAGATCTGTAAGAATCATTGCTGAGTGTCAAAATGCCAACACTGCCTTTTAACAAGGAAAAAAAAATTTTATTGGCTTTACTGGCTAGAGTACATATTCTAGTAAGATTTTTTTTTAAATGAAGTAAAGCTGAGACACAATGTTACATTCGTTTCAGGTGTACAACATAGTGATATGACAAGTTTATACGTAAGCTTCCCATGAGCATAGCTACTACCATCTGTCCCCATACAACACAAATTTATAAGACCACTGACTGGATTTCCCATACTGTACCTTTCATTCCCATGATTTATTCATTCCATAACTGGAAACCTGTCTCCCACTCCCCTCTCGTAAGATCTTTAACATGAATAATAAACGAGATAAATAAATGATAAGAAAAGTAGAGAGTGATATGCCAACAACTGCCATCATTACTGGTAGATTACAACTTGCTGTAACTACGCAATAATTTTACAGCCTTAGGTAAGTAAGTAGGACAATTATATTTGGAAACCAGAAAAAGAAGCTTAAAGAAAAGGGTAACATTTACTATTCAAATAAACTGATCAATTATTTCCTTACCTGAATCACTTGCTGCAACAACAACTGTTCCACCAGGAGCAAAAGGATCGTTGTGTTTCAATGTTTCTACCTAAACAAATTGCACAAAATCATGACTATGAGAGGCGATATTTCACAGCTGAAACCTCATGGCCACACCAAAGAAAATATTCTTTACAAAATCTTAATTAAGAAATACAAGGCATTGGGGCACCTGGGTGGCTCAGTGGGTTGGGCCTCTGCCTTCGGCTCAAGTCATGATCTCAGGGTCTTGGGATAGAGCCCCGCATCGGGCTCTCTACTCAGCAGGGAGCCTGCTCCCCCCCCCCACCGCCTGCTGCTCTGCCTACTTGTGATCTCTCTGTCAAATAAACAAATAAAATCTTAAAAAAAAAAAAAACAAGGGCGCCTGGGTGGCTCAGTGGGTTAAGCCGCTACCTTCGGCTCAGGTCATGATCTCGGGGTCCTGGGATCGAGTCCCGCATCGGGCTCTCTGCTCAGCAGGGAGCCTGCTTCCCTCTCTCTCTCTCTCTGCCTGCCTCTCCATCTACTTGTGATCTCTGTCTGTCAAATAAATAAATAAATAAATAAAATCTTTAAAAAAAAAACAAAAACAAGGAAAGAAATACAAGGCATTAGGAATTAATGTTTCCCCTAATGATTTGCAATCTTATTAAACTAAATGACACATACCATTTTCTAATCTTTTATTGGGTAATATAATAGCCATTCAATATGGTATATGAAACACATATGGTTTAACAAGTAACTATCAAATGAACTCCTCTGTTATCACCTTTCAAGAAACTGCCAACACCTGGTAAGTCTTCATGTGCCCCTCTCCAAAAACAATCCCATCCCTCCTCTGTAGAGGTGATTACTACCCTGACTTTGGTGGCATTCATCTCTTTTCTTCATTATTTTGCTACTAGTACAGATACACACTGTTTTAACTTTTTGTACTGAAGTAATTTTAGATTTCTAGAACAGTTGTAAAGATAATATATAGAGTTCTCATATATCCTTCACCCAGGTTCCTCTAATGTTAGTACCTCACATAATCATGGTACATCTATTAAAACTAAGGAATTAACACTGGTACAAAACTATAAACCATAGGCAATATTTGGAATTCACCAGTTTTTCAATTAAGGTCCTTCTCCTCTTCCAGGATGACATGCTATATTTAGGATGCATACTATTCTAACTCTTAAATATCCTACTACTTAGTATCAGAAAATGCTAGATTGACTTTCTAGTTAAAGCATTCTGCACATCAGAGGAACATACACAGGTACTCCAGAGAAGATGGGGGTGGGGGCATGGGGAGAAGTGGAGGGGAGGAAAAGAGGGAAGAAAGGAAGGAGAGAGGGAGGCAGGGAGCTCTGCTAAAAAGATCCTGCTACTTTCAATAATAAACCACATAAGAATCTGGACCAAGTGGCAAGGGTGAGTGGCTAGAGTGAGCACATTACCAGAAGCCAAAGAGTTCCACTACAGAACTGTTTTCTTAACTTATTTTGGTTTTTAATCATAGTCAAACAAATTATATACCTAGGAAGAAAAGTGAATTTTCTCTTTCTGGTATCAGGCCCTCTTAAGAGGCCAATGAAAGCCTTAGCAGACAGTTACATGAAAGGGACATAAAAAGGGTTTGGGAACATGTATCTCCTCTGACTCATGGCTATCAATGTCATCTGTATTATAGGCTCTATTTCTAATCATTAAGAAATTGGTTATTAGAATTGAACATCAGATGGTATCACAGTGTTCAATTGATATTCCAAATAAAACAGACAGGACTTGTAGTACATTCTCTTTAAAAAAGAGAACCCAGGGATGCCTGGGTGGCTCAGTCGGTTAAATATCTGCCTTCAGCTCAGGTCATGATCCCAGGGTTCTGGGATCAAGTCCCACATCGGGTTCCCTGCTCAGCGGGGAGTCTGCTTCTCCCTCTGCTCCTCACCCAGACCCCTAGCTTGTGCTCTCTTTCTAGATCTCTGTCTGAAATAAATAAATAAAATCTTTTTTAAAAAAGACTATCAGAAAGTAATACTAATGATGTTTTTAGAACTGAAGATGACATTTATTTTAACTGATGCCAATATTATAAAACTAGCATAATCATTTATATTCTGATCATATCTGTTGAATGAATAAAGAGCAATCAAAGAAAAACATTAAGGTGGTCTGTATAGCCAGGTAACTTTGCATGGTTCCTAATATAATAGTCAAAAAAAAACAGTGTGAGAGATAACGCCTGACGTAAGTCACCAATTATTATTGCTTCTTCTCTTGACTTTCAGGGGAAAAACAACCTAACAGGCCTGATTTTTTTTTTTAAGATTTTATTTATTTATCTTACAGACAGAGATCACAAGTAGGCAGAGAGGCAGACAGAGAGAGAGGAAGCAGCAGACCCCTGCTGAGCAGAGAACCCGATGTGGGGCTCAATCCCAGGACCCTGGGATCATGACCTGAGCCGAAGGCAGAGGCTTTAACCCACTGAGCTACCCAGGAGCCCCTAACAGGCCTGATTTTTAACAAAAGCTTATAGATTTTAATCACCATTACAGAGAGAAAGACAAAAAGCAGGCCTACATAAGTGTCAGGTTTAATTTCTATTCCTTCCTCATAATACACTGTGCCACCACCTAAAAGATCATTGAGACAGCAGGGGGGAACAGGATGGACTGCATAGCCTTTGAAAGAATGAGGCCATTAGACTCTATGTCATCTTCAGTTTGATAATTACGCAATTTAATACGCAAAAGTAATTTTTGTAACTATAATTCAGGTAGTATTTTATAGAATTAAGGTTCCAAAATCTTCCTACAAGGTCACCAAATTTATTACTGAAATTCTCTCTCTTCCATATCAGCCATCTACTCCCCACTCTGACTGTATGACTTAGTACCCACACAATGCTATCATACACTAACTAGGAAAGTAAGAAATAGTTGTTTTGTTTCACTTTGGTTTTTTAAATTATATCCCTCTGAAAGCAGAGACTAGCCTTGAGGGAATAGGAAAGACTTTAGGGGAGAGATTCAGATCTAGAAACATAATCAGAGGCCTGTTTGAAAAGAATGAAGATCACAATACATATGGGCTCTGTAGCTGGGAAGAATTAAGTTTAAATCTTGGACTACAGGACTTAGATTTTGGTCAGATAAACGAAGGTCTGAATTCAGTTCTACCACTTACTAACTTACTATCATTTAACCTCTAAGTCTCATTTACTTTACCTTTAAAATGAGAATGGTAACAAGAGTTTCACAGAAATAGTGTGACGATGAGATGGGTAACACATGAACAGAGCTTAGCACCATGCCTGGTACATAGAAGAGAGGAGATAAGCAAAGCTATTGTTATATTGCCAATTTGGTTTTTTGTTTAGTTTTTAATGGAGAAATCCAGAGCAGTCAGCAAGTGCAATACAGCTTTCACAAACTGGGGAGATAAGAGAAGAAGTAAATAGGACAAATGGTGGAGAATTTTCATCAGGCAAGAGGAACAGCAGAAACCTGCTTTACTTTTAAATTAGGAAGAGCTGCTTTGGTTTTCTTGCTCTTTAAAGATAAAAGTGGAGAATGAGAGACTACAGTAAGGTAACAGGAAAAAAATTCAGGTTGCAGACAATTTTAGAAGAATTTGGCAAATGGATCCACACTGCAAACTAAGTGTAGGAAAACAGAGTATCCAGTAGCCTGTGGAAACCACAAATATTCAGTTATGGAGGCACTTGCTCACTTTTACATCAATGGAAAATACCAGCTGTTGGCCAAATAGCTCTTTACTGAGTACAGTAGGAAAGCAATTAAAGAATATCAGAATTTAACTTTAAAAGAATCAATTACTCTTTTAAGGGAGTATTTTTTTTTTTTTTAAGATTTATTTATTTGACAGAAAGAGATATCACGAGTAGGTGGGGAGGCAGGCAGAGAGAGAGAGAGGAGGAAGCAGGCTCCTCAATGAGCAGAGAGCCCGATGTGGGCCTCGATCCCAGAACCCTGGGATCATCACCTGAGCCGAAGGCAGAGGCTTTAACCCACTGAGCCACCTGGGCGCCCCATCTTTTAAGGGAGTATTCTTAATCTAAGAGAATTAAAAGACAAATTTTTTGCTTCAAATACCCATCAATTTTTCTTGTCTGGATGAAACATCCTGCTTAACAAAATAATCCTCTAAAAGACAATTATCTATGATCTCTCTGATATGAGGAATTTGAAAGGCAGGGCAGGGGGGTAGGGAGGGATAAAATGAAACAAGATGGGGCTGGGGAGGGAGACAAACCATAAGAGACTCTTAATCTCAGGAAACAAACTGAAGGTTGCTGGGGGCTGGGGAGAGGAGGGATAGGGTGGCTGGGTTATGGACACTGGGGAGGGTATGTGCTATGGTGAGCGCTGTCAGTTGTGTAAGACTGATGATTCACCAGACCTGTACCCCTGGGGCAAATAATACATTATGTGTTAATTAAAAAAATAAGCCTCTAAATAAAAAATAAACAAATTCTAAAACCATTCATAATTATTGAAATTGGGTAATGGATACATGGAGGTTTCTTCCCTTTTTTTTTTTTTTAATATTTATTTTTTAGAGAGAAAGAGAGAGAGCCCAAGCTGGGGCAGTGGCAGGCAGAGAAGGCAGAACAGGCAGAGGGAGAAGCAGGCTCCCCGCTGAGCAAGGAGTCCCATGTGGGACTCAATACCAAGACCCTGGGATCATGACCTGAGCTGAAGGCATTTGCTTAACCAACTGAGCCACCCAGACATCCTTACATGGAGGTTTCTTATAATATCTCATTATATTACTCTATTTTGGGTATGTTTAAATATCCATAATATATTTTCTTTTAAAGCCTCCAGACGATAAAGCACTTAGCTATATGACCTTGGTTACTTCCGAGTCCCAGTGTTTTTATTATTAAAACAGGGCTACCAATACCTACTTTGCAAGGTTGTGAAGATCACAAAAGAGGGTCTGACATTTAGTAGGAATTTGTATTTCTCTACAAGATTAACATGTATGTGTTATTAAATATATATAAAATGTGTCTATAAGTGATTTTATCTTTCTAAAACATCAATGCTATTTTTAGGTTGATTTTCATTATTTCAATAATGCATAGCACACATTTCTGAAAAGCTTTAAAGACTAGTTAATGGATTTCGAACCATTTATTTTATATATGCCAATGGGATAATACCTGATCCTTATTAAGGATGGACCTGATTTTTAGATGAAAGTAAGTTATTCCAGCTAATTACCGGGCAGATAAAGCTGTGAAATGCCAGTCTGAACCAAAAACTAGATGGACTGGATGAGACTGACATTTTCACATAGCCCATCGAAAGTAATCTAAAAGAGGATCCTTACATTACTGTATATTTCAAGAAACTCACCTAGGACGACTGTTATCCATGTAACAGTTTTTAACCCTCCACTTACCGAAGTGTTACTGCTATTGCTGGCTGCACTGAAAGGGTCAGTACTTGAAGTGGCAAAAGGGTCAGCAGAAGACTGCTTGAAGAAACAGTCAGATGCAAATGGATCTGAACCTTTGAAAGGATCACCTCCAAATGGATCTAAGAAAATACAGCACATATATGAAAGACTGAAAACTACTACACTAAATTTCCTATCACCTAAAGGTATAATAACTGCCTTAATTAAAAGACATTTTGAACTTCTGCAGAATCTAAATTAGGTACTTGGCATCATGATTATTGACCATTAAAAAAACAGAGAGTTGTACCTAAAACAGCTTTAATTAATATTCTTTGTCCTACTTGCTCATCATTCACCCAAAGCAAATCAATAATTCTAATACTTATTACACAAAGATTACTTGTATGCTAGGTTGAAATAATTCCTTTAAACTAGTGATTCTAATTTTAGGGGAGGAGAAATCACAAATTCCTTTGTGATTTTGTGAAAAAATAGTCTCTCCCCTAATAAACTTATTTGGAACAGGTTTCAGAAGCATAACAAAGGTACACAAGACCAGGGAAAGAGTATTTTATCAAGCTTGAGATTTAGTAATTCTTTAAGATGTTTCCTTTCCCCCCATTCATATGCTATAATCTTAGGAAAACAAAATGTTCTAAACACTGAAGTAGTACAGATCACTATACTCATCTACTCCTTGACTAACAAGGAGAAATCAGTCTAAGTATTATTAAAAGTATAAAAATATAAACACAAATGTAATTTAAAAAATAAAGCTAATGGTTAATTAAGCAAATTGACAAGAATCTACCAATTTCTCTCTGAAAATGCCAAGCACATATAACCTTTAGTGGGGCCTTTTATCAGTTTAAAAACTGAATAAAAAGGAAGTCTACTTCCTATAACTACCTTACTTTGATCCTTCATTTCTAAATATAACACAAGTTTATAATTAAGCAGAATGAAATTACAGCTAAGCTGGACCTCAATGATATACATACCAATTTTTCCAAAAGGATCATCCTTGAAAGGATCACCTGTGACAAAATAAATAAGCAGAAATCACAATAACAATATTTACTGTTGGGACATCACTACTTAAAGGTAACTTTAAACAGAAGCAAAGTTTCTAAAAGCAAAGTCTGTTTGGTTAGCTCTACCTCAAAGTAGATTCAACACTAAATGCCACACACTTTTAGGAAACATTTAAAATAATAAAGAGTAAAGGCAGAACATCAACATACCTCATAAACGAAGCAATTTTTTTCTAATGACTCCTATTTTTTTTTTAAAGATTTAGTTCATTTATGTGAGAGAGAGAGTGTGTGCATGAGCAGGGAGAGGGGCAGAGGAAGAAGCAGACTCTCCACCGAGCAGGGAGCCTGATGTGGGGCTCAATCCCAGGACTCTGGGATCATGATCTGAGCCAAAGGCAGATGCTTAACTGGCTGAGCCCAGGCATCCCAGAAGAAGCAAATTTCAACTGGAGCCAACTATACTTACCCCTTGATCACCAGCTGAGGTTACAAATAAAAGGGAAAAGACAGGCACAACAGCAATAATTTTACTAACAGAATTCTCTGCCCTTCATAGAATTCTGAATGGGTATTACCATCACTATTCCAGAAACAAAGACACTGAGCCTTATTGAAGCAAAAAATAATTCTAGAACTATAGAGTTCAGAAATAAACTCTTACATTTATGGTCATTTGATTTTTGACAAGAGTGCCAAGACAGTTCTATAGGTCAAACATAATCTTTTCAACAAATGGTGCTGGGACAACTGGATATCCACATACAAAAGAATAAAGCTAGACCCCTATCTCATACCATAGTCCAAAATTAACCAAAAATAGATCAAAGATCTAAATGTAATAGCTAAAACTATAAAACTCTTAGAAGAAAACCCAAGAGTAAATCTTCATGACTTTGGATCTTAGAAATGATATGAAAAGCACAAGTGACGAAAGAAAATATAGATAAATTGGACTTCATCAAAATTAAGACAACGCAAAATACAAGAAAATATCTGCAAATCACATACTTGATTAGGGACTTGTATTCAGAATATATGAAGAACTTTTATAAGTCAACAAAAAGATGAACAATAAAAAATGCTCAAGTTCTTTGAATGAACATTTCTCCAAAGAAGTTACACAAATGCCCAATAAGGACATAGAAAGATGCTCCACAAAAGGTATTTGCAAAGGACATACCCAGTAAGGGGTTAGTATCCAAAATATATAAAGAACTTATAAAACTCAACACCCAAAAAACCAAATAATCCAATTAAAAAGTGGACAGGGATTCCTGAGTGGCTTAATCAGTTAAGCATCTGACTTTGGCTTACGTCATGATCTCAGGGTCCTGGGATCAAGCCCCACATCGGGCTTCATCCTCAGCAGGGAGTTGGCTTCTCCTTCTGCACCTCCCCCCCAATACTCTCAATCACTCTCTCTCTCAAATAAATAAAATCTTAAAAAAAAAAGTGGGCAAGACATGAATAGACATTTTACCAAAGAAGATATAGAGATGGCCAGAAGACATGTAAAAAGATGTTCAACATCACTCATCATCATGGAAGTGCACATCAAAACTACAATGAGATAATGCTTCACACCTGTCAGAATGGCTAAAATTAACAACACAAGAAACAACAGGTGTTGACAAGGATGCAGAAAAGGGGAACCCTCTTGCACTGCTGGTGGGAAAGCAAACTGGTACAGCCACTCTGGAAAACAGTATGGAGGTTCCTCAGAGAGTTAAAAATAGAACTACCCTATGATCAAGCAACTGCACTACTAGGTATTTACCCAAAGAATACAAAAATACTAATGTGAAGGGATACATGCACCTCAATGCTTACAGCAGCATTATCTACAATAGCCAAGTTATGGAAACAGACCAAATATTCATCAACTGATGAATGGATACAGAAGAGGCAGTATATGTATGTATATATACAGAGATGAAATACATATATACATGAAATCTTATTTCCAACAACATGGATGGAACTAGCAAGTATTATGCTAAGCGAAGTAAGTCAGAGAAAGACAAATACCATATGATTTCACTCAAATGTGGAATTTAAGAAACAGATCGTCCTGGGGGAAAAAGAGAAAGAGGCAACAAACCAAGAAACAGACTCAACTACAGAGAAGAAACTGGTGGTTATCAGAGGGGAGGTGGGGTGGGGAGAGTGTTAAATGGGTGATGGACATTAAGGAGGGCACCTCTTGTGACAAGCACCAGGTGTTGTATGTAAGTGATGAATCACTAAATTCTACTCCTAAAACAAAAATTACACTGTATGTTTACTGACTGGAATGTAAATAAAAACTTAGAGAAAAAAAAAACTGTCATAAACTGACAATCAGTTTCACAAACTGATTTGGAATAAACAAAATGCAAAAAGAGTTTTGACACCAGAGGTATTTAACATAGTTTACACTGACATCAGGTATTTCAATTTACTCAACTCCTATTTCTTCAAAAAGACTATAGGCACCTTAAGGGCAGGGATCTAGGTTCTAACTGCTATAGGTTCCACTGTTTTAAAAGCATGGTGTTGGCACTCCAGTAAAAAATTGCTGGTTGACTTAAGAGTACCTAGTCTCCTCTCCTGGTCCATAATACCTTTCTTTTGGTCCTTATTCTGAAGAAGAAACATGCTCTTTTTTTTTTTTTTTTTTTTTTTTTTTTATTTGAAACAGAGAGAGAGATCACAAGTATGCAGAGAGGCAGGCATAGAGAGAGAGAGGAGAAAGCAGGCTCCCCGCTGAGCAGAGAGCCCGATGCGGGCCTCGATCCCAGGACCCTGAGATCATGACCTGAGCCGAAGGCAGAGGCTTAACCCACTGAGCCACCCAGGCGCCCAGAAGAAACATGCTCTTAATCAGGGGCTCCGTCCCAGGAGTTTGTTGCCTGATGAGGAAAATTACCAGCAAATATAAGCATATCACATCTCTACACCCCTCTACTTTTGCTGTAACAAGTAGGATCTTAAAACTGAGCCCTAATTCCTATATAGTTACATGAAAAAGACTTTTTTTTTTGGTAAGTCCATAATATAAAAATAAGAGTACTTACTGCCAACAAAAGGATCAGACTGGAAAAAATCCAAGTTTGTATCTGCAACAGGATCTGTCAGTGAACTTGATTCTACATTAAATGGATCTCCCTAAAAACAATTTTAAATTAAAAAGTATTATTTTAGAAACCAGTTTTAAGATGTAACATTTTAAAATAAAATAACATGCTTTGAAAAAATAACAAATATTTCTGTAGTCATAAAGTTCACTTAATACATTTTTCTTTCCTTAGCCTAAAACAGTGTATTAGCTATCTAGGAAAACCTGTAACAAGAACATTTACATATAAAATTATTTTTACCTCTTTTGAATGTCTGTCACTATTAAATTCAGGACAAACTTTCTCATGAACAGCTGTAGTTGCCACTTCATTATCATCAGTCACACCAGAAGGCAGTATTTCAGGACTACTTCTTGCCTACGAAATATTAATGTTACATGGACTAAAGATGTATTTTCTACTTGGCAGAGGAAACTGACAAAGGATAACAAAAAATTGCTAAAAATACAGAAGACAAGGAGAATGCATTCATTAAATGAGTTCTTCTCTTAAAATCTTCTTAGGAAAACGGTATCATTAAGCATCAAAGTCACTCAGGCCAGAAAACTTAAACCACTTAACCACTTCCCTCGTGTCATTTCCCAGCTAGCCTCCAAGTCTTGCTGAGTTCACCTCCTACTTCCTTCTCAAATCCATTCCTTTCTTTCCTCATTGTCACTATCATCCATTTATAGTACCATCCTTCTGCTCCAGAGTAACCTTCTAACTGCCTTCCTGCCTCCAACATGTGCCCTTCCAACTGATCCTTCTTGTAGTAGCTAAAGGAATAGATCTAAAATATGAATCTGATTGGGGCTCTTCTGGTTAAACGTCCTTCAATGGCTTCCCTTGCTTTCTGGATTTAGACCAGTAGGTAATAGGGCTTAAGAAGTGGCAGGGGAAATCTTCATTTCATACCACACTATGTCCTTGAAGGATAACTTTTTGTATTTAAAAGAACAGTGTATAATGTATCCAAGACTGCAACACCTAAATACAAATCAAGTCTGTTAATTTTATGTCTTTAGTATCTCTCACACTTGTATTCTTCTCATCATCCCTCCTATTACTGCTTCAGTTTAGGCTAAAACAATCTCACACAGATCATTCCAATAGTCTCTTAACCTATCTCTGTGCATCCAGTCCTACTCTCAAATCCATTTTTTGTATTTTTCTAAAAGTGAAATGCAATTATGTCACAACTTGCTTAAAATTCTTCAATGGCTACTCACCACAGTAAGATAAATCTCCCAATGCTTCAAAATGAATCTAAATTTCTTACTCTCTGTCCCTTTCTGACCTAAAAGTAGTCATTTTTATCCAGGGGGCACCTCATAATCACCCACGGAATTTTTTGGAAAAATACAGGTACATGGCACCATCCCAGAAACTCTAGCTCAGCAAGTTTGTAATGGGGTGCAGACATCTATATTTTATGTAAGAGGTAATGCAGGGAGCCACTATGAGAGGGCGTCATTTCCTACTAATACTCCCCCCACCATCACAAGATATCCTTTGAGAACTTCTTATGACCCTGTGCAGCATTATTCTCCCATCTCATACCTATGCAAATGCTGTTTTCTCTGCCAGGAATATACCACCTTCTTCTCTGCTTAATACTTCTTATTCTGAAGCTCACCTATAAAGCTTTCTCTATACAATCTTGAGCCCCTCCAAGCTGTCCTCCCTGACTATCACAGCCCTTCACAGTGTTACACTGCTAGACTGTATGCTGCTTAAAGGCAGGGTTACAGTCTTTTGTCTCTGCAGCTCTCACATATAACAGCAACACTTCTGTGTGCTAAGTAACTAGTAAATAAAAGTCCTCAACATTATGAAATAAAGAATTACTTTCAGCATTGGGTGAGAATACTTAAAAAAAAAAGTTTTAAAAAGTTACTATCTATAGAGCTACTGTTTTGAAAACATGCTTTATAACAAATGGATTGATTAAAATCACATTTTTACACTAGTTAAGTGTCAGAACTATTGGATCAGAGTACCTACTCTCTCCCTCTGGGGAAAAAAATCAACTGTCCTCAGATGAGGCAAGGTTCCATATTTATATTAAGTATGATGTCAACAAAATCCCTGAGCTGAATTAATTTTTTTCTTCTGAACTTGATTATGAAGGTTATAGAACAATTAGACTCACTGGAGACTCCTGGTGTATGGGCTCTGACTCCAACATGCCTTGGCTGTCAGCATGCTCATTAAGGTTAGCTGTTTCACTGCTGCTGGTGCTAAGGCTGCAATAATCTGTAGCACCATTTATAAGAATGCTGTGTGGGCTACTGCACCAATTTAATTGATTATTATGGTTTTCCAGCTCTTTCATTTCCATCAGCTTCATTTGCATCTGTCAACACAAAGTAGAAATACAAAACAGAATTTATTACTAGAAGAACACAAAACATAAAAATAGCTACATCCTTAGACTCAAAGATAAGTTTGCTTCCATTAAGGAGAATCCTCTGGGAATGCAGCACGATTTAGAGAGATTTCAGTAATCCATCCCAGTAAGTTTTCTTGACATTATAGTATACATGGATTTGCTTTTGCACATCTTTTTAAAGCTCCAAAAATTGTGATTCAAATATTTACATCTTGGTATCCTTTAGGGATAACTGGAAAAAGGGTCATGGTATTGGGGAAAAGATGGCAAAGAGAACAAGAGAAGATTGTGTGATGAAGCTCTGGGAAAAAAAAAAAAAAAGGAAGTTCGGGGAGAGAACACAAGGATTTAGAGCCATCCATACTTCTATTGGGAAGGAGAGGAGTGAAGACTAAGGTAAAGGGAGCTACTGTTCTATGCTCCAGCATTATTTATTAATGGGCTAGAACCCTAGGAGTGGTCTCTAAAATCCAAGCTATTCTAAACATGTTAAATAAAGGACAAAGTATTTTGGATCCCAGTATCCAAGTGACTTTATATTCCTGGAACAACAGAGGGAGGGAGAGGCAGAATATAATAAACTGTAATATATATTAAAAGAAAAATATTGGGTCCAGAGGCAGGGAAAAAATGATGCTTATTGATACTAACATCTGTAATAAAGAAAAATTAATAAATATCTCAAAGAAACTGAAGAGAGGGCAAAATCAAAATATGTTTCCTAGTGAAAAAGAGTAATGAATGGAATTTTACTGAATAGTTTCTATTTTTCGTAAAATATATTTTTTTCATTATATTGGAATTCCCTTTATTTATTAGCATGCTGTGTTTTCTGGACATTTTATAAATCAAGGCTCAGTTCCCCTAATCTTATTTTCTGCATAAGGTTTTTAACTTGCTCATTTTAGAATCTTTAATTTGCCACAGATCTTTTCAGGGCCATAACCTGGGAAAAGAACACTACATTCAACTGGGAAAACAGATGTCAGTCAATCTCTGTCACTTTCTAGTCAAGTGATCTTAGTTAAAGTCACCTCTTCTAGCCTTTATTTCTTAATCTATAAAGTAAGACCTTTCTCCACAGATGATTAAATGAGGCAAAGATCTATCTGAAAGAACTCTGTAAAATGTAAAGGTTTGTATAAATAATGGACAATGTGTATAAAAGTGCCTAGCACACTGCGTTTCTCACTATTGTACCAACTAAGTTTCCCTGTTTCTTTTCTACTAATTTACTCCGTTTTTTTTTTGTTTGTTTTTAAAGATTTTATTTATTTGACAGACAGAGATCACAAGTAGGCAGAGAGGCAGGCAGAGAGAGAGAGAGAGACAGGGAAGCAGGCTCCCTGCCAAGCAGAGAGCCCGATGCAGGACTCGATCCCAGCACCCTGAGATCATGACCTGAGCCGAAGGCAGAGGCTCAACCCACTGAGCCACCCAGGTGCCCCTAATTTACTCCGTTTTTAAAAAGCTAAAGACCTTGAGCTCTTTGAGGGTAGGAACCACAACTTTTGCTATCAACTTCGTACTGCCAATATCTACCACAATGATGTATATACTATAGTGCTTAATTTATGTTTACTGAATGGACATAGTATTGTGCTTATAAATTTAAACCATGGATATTAGTAAGCATTTGTATCTATCACAGTGCATTGTATTTAGAATTTAAACAATCCAAAATACTACAAATCTGTAATACACAGCATGTGCCTTGTATATTCCCAGTGATATTAAGTTGTGGCTTATAAAACATTTTTTTTTTACATTATTCTATGGAAAGAAATAGATTTACATCCTAACCCAGTGAATACATGTATTTATTTGGCTAGGTCTCTCTGTGTGTATATACACACATAAACACATAAGTGCAATATAGACACATTCATCCATATGTATAATTTATATGCACATACATATGTATATACAATTATGAAAAAGTTTCATGAAGTAATATGTATCCTTATTCCATGTAATGCACCATCATATTTCCTATTCTGTCTTATTTCATTCTTATTTTTTGTATACGAAGTATGTCTTTATTTTTTCTAAACAAAAAACAACTTGTATAGGTATACATATGAATGCACAGGCACACACAGAGAGGTGCATCCATGTACAGACAGAATTCTAAAAAGATACCATGCTGCAAATATTGTTTTTCTCCAGGAAGTAGAACTGTCAGACTTTTCACTTTCTATTTTAAAAATATACATAGTGTAGTACTCCATTACTACCAACAGTTAACTCAATTTTTTTATATATGAAAAACTTGCAATGTATATTAGGAAAACAAATGTGCATGTATGGAACACTTTTACGTTATATGGAGAAAATAATATTATGTTTTATGGATAAGGCAGTGTTTCTCACTGATTTAGGCACAATCACTGACTATATTGGCCAGGGAGATGTCTTCTGTGGGGACCAGAAACAGAGCTCCCCTCTTGTCCATCTGCTTCAGGGCTGCGCAGTATCTCCTATTTTCCCAGGCACGGCCTGTCTGACTTTTTTCTTGTCCCTGACTGAACCTATGAAGCTCACAAAATGATCTTAACACCTCGGGCCACATGCATTTGAAGAACAGTAAGATGATGTTTATTCACTTCTAGTTACCAGTATGTCAAGCTGGGTCAGCTCATGGAGTCCCAAATAACGAACACTTTGGTAGTCAGCAGCACCAGATTCAAAAGCTCTGAACAATCCACAACAGTCCTGTCTTAATTCATTTTTTTAAAAAATTTTATCATGACCATTAAAATAATTTCAATATCCACTAAACCTTTACAGTCTAAAATTTAAAACCTTAACACTAAAATAATAACCATTATATAGATGAAGCAGTATGTGGAAATACTTGCTTATCAAAGAGTACTATTCAAGACAACTTATTTCTTAGAGTTACTTCTGAGACAATAAAATCTTGAACAAAACTGGGCCTTCCTGTGCCTGCCCTCTCACACACCTGTCACTTAGCCTGTCTTCTTCCTTAGTCTCTGCATAAACTTGAAGGATATAGAAAAAAAAAAATTACACAACTAACACAAGTTCTTCACAAACTGTGCAAGAGAAATGCAATGAACTATCACAATGCCAGAAACATTTGGATAAAAACAGTATATACTGTGTAAGTAAGATACATAGAATTAAAGCCAAAGGTTCTTTACTTTTTCTTACCATAAATATAAGGTAAGAAGTATAAATGAAAATTAGGCAAGTCAGAAATTTTTCCTAAGTTATTCCTTTTTCCAGAAAAGCTGTAGTTTAGCTTTAAAGAGCAATTAAAGTTTCAGGGTAATTTACAGTTTGGATTTTCATCTCTTAATAGGCCCATGGGAAAATACTGCCCTCTGTGGGAAAGACACACAAGTCACTAAGTCAAATATAAGGAATCAGTATGTTCTTTTTTTGTGTGTCTGTGGCTGATTTATTTACTTATTTATTTACTTTCCTAAATAAATTCTACACCCAACGTGCGGCTTGAACTTACAACCCCAAGATCATGAGTCAAATGTGTTACTGACTGAGCCAGCCAGGTGCCCCTGGTATGTTTGTTCTTAAGGTTTGAGATCAGATGCAAGAATATAAAATAATTCCTTCCACAGATAGCAAATATTATCTGGCACACTTGGTAGTAGTATAGTTTGCTGAGATTATTTTCCTTGCTCAAAAACAATGTTTTATTTTCTCGATGATAATTTATAATATCCAGAATCTTTTCTACTTTTCTCATTTATGTTCCTTCCTTTGAAAGAAATTCCCTTTCAAAAAACTTAAAGAAAATGAAGAGACAAGCCAGATACTGGGAGAAATTATTTGCAAATCAAACATCTGATAAGGAACTTATATCCAGGAGATATTTTTTAAAACTTTTGTAATTTAATAATAATTAGACAATACATTTTTTTAAATGGGAAAAAGATTTATACAGACATTTTATCCAAGAGGATATACAAATGGGTAATAAGCACATGACTAGAAATTAGAAAAATAGAAATTAGAAACTATGAGATACCACTTCACACCCACTAGAATGACTAAAATTAGTTAGGAGGACAATAAAGTGTTGGTAAGATTGTGGAGAAACTGGAACCCTCATATACTGCCAGTGGGAATGTGAAATGGTATAGCGACTTTGGACAACGTTTTGCAATTTAAAGTTAAAAAAAAATTTAAACATAACTTCACAATATAATCAACTATTCCATACTCCCCAAAAATGAAAACACATGTCCACACAAAGAATTATATGCAAATTTTCATAGCAGCACTATTTGTAATAGCCAACAAGTAGAAAGATTCCAAATGCCCATTAATCAGTGAGCAAATAAACAAAATACTTTATAAATATACAATGAAATACAGTGTTGATACATTCTACAAAACAGATCAGCCTCAAAAACATTATGCTTGTGAAGGAAACCTCAAGAAAAACACTACAAAGTGTCAGATTTCATCTACATGAAGTGCTGAGAAAAGGCAAACATACAGAAGGAGAAAGACCAGTAGTTACCTAGGGGCAGAAGTTGGGACTCACTACAAATGGGTCCAAGGAGTGTTTTAGGAGTGACAGAAATGTTCTAAAACTGAATTGTGGTGTTTGAACAATTCTAAGTTTACCGAAAATTGCTGAATTGCATCCTTAAAACCTATAAATCTTATGGTATGTAAATTATTTATAAAAAAATTTTTAAGTAAACTCAAAGAAGAAAATTATTTTAAAGAATATTCATTCATGGGCGCCTGGGTGGCTCAGTGGGTTAAGCCTCTGCCTTCAGCTCAGGTCATGATCTCAGGGTCCTGGGATGGAGCCCCGTATCAGGCTCTTTGTTCAGCAGGGAGTCTGCTCTCCCTCCACCCCGCTTGCCTGCCTCTCTGCCTACTTATGATCTTTCTCTCTCTGTCAAATAAATAAATAAAATCTTCCAAAAAAAAAAAAAAAAAAGAATATTCATTCAGCTGGTAGCATTCCCACTAAGACAGCCTTCTTTTGGGTTACCTGTTTATTGAGTACCTACACTGGGATAAGAACTGTGCTAAATGATAAGAGAGAAAAAAAATGTTCCTAGTCCAAAAAGCTCAGTCTGCTGAGGGAGACAGACACATTAACAAATATGCAGGGGGAAATGTTACTATTGCTGTAACAGAAGCAGAGTCCAATATAGACAGGGTTCAGAAAATGCTGTAAAGTAGTAAGAAGTTAAGCCATGTCTTACAAGATGAGGGAGTAGGTATTCACCTGTGAGATAAGAGAGGGGAAGAAAGGGGGTGCCTGGGTGGCTCAGTGGGTTAAAACCTCTGCCTTCAGCTCAGGTCATGATCCCAGGGTCCTGGGATTGAGCCCCGTATGCGGGGGAGGGGTGTCTCTGCTCAGCAGGGAGCCTGCTTCCCTCTCTGTCTCTGCCTGCCTCTCTGCCTACTTGAGACCTCTGTCTGTCAAATAAATATATAAATAAATCTTTAAAAAAAAAAAAAAAGAGTGGGGAAGAAAGCCTAACAAGGGGTAGGACTTTGCTACACATAATAATTAACTGAGAACACAGGACTACATGTTAGAAGATCTAGATTCTAGGCTGTGGCTCTTTTAAAGGCAATGCTAACCACAGGTAAGTAAGTTGCCTAACCTTCCTTGGCTTCAGTTTGTTCAAATTTGAAATGAAAGGAATGAGTTATACCATCTCTCTCCTCCTAACCATCTTACTATCATTCTATAAAATATTATTCTCCATTTAGGTTAGCCTAGAAATGACAAAGCAAAAGATCTATACTGTGGACCCACATAAAAAAGCATTTTTATCTATATAAAGAACAATTTCCTAATTAAAATAATAAAGGTCTCCAAATAAGCTAAGGTTGGGGAGGGTTTACATAAAAATAAACACTTGGGAGAGCATTTACGTACCAAACAATGCTAAACTGTCTCACAGTGTTTAATCCTTTACATTTATTTCATTTAATCCTTACAGCAGACATAAAAAGCTAGAGAGACTGTTAATTCTCCAATTTTTTTTTAAATTCTCCAACTTTAAAGATGAGGAATCTGATACTAAGATGATTCAGGCAGTAAGTGGCAGAGCCAGAACTTGAACCTAAACCATACATCTATAAAACCCATACCCTTAGCCATGACTCCAGTGATAATAACCAGATGTACAAGATGTATGACAATTTTAACTTGTGACAGGCAACAAGAAACCTACTTGTATAAAAAGAATAAAAAAATAACAGACTAGGCAGAGAGAAAAGAACACAAATTGAGAAAGTATTATTTACTAAGAGGATATGGTAAAGCCCCATTTGAGCATGTCTCATTGCCACAAAGACTTACTGAACTGATTTCCTGTTGTGAATCTTGCAGGTGCTGCTGAAGAGGTCCTAGCTGAGCCTTCCCTGACTCCACACTCTCCTCCAATTCTGCTGTTTCTTGCTGTAGGCGACTAAGCTCTTCCCTAGCTTTGGCCAGCTCTTCCTCGTAAGTAGAGATCTGCGATTCTTGACTAGTTAATTCAGCTTTCAGGGATGAGATCTGTAACATGGGAGTAAATGACAAGAAAGAGGGATTAAAAAAAAAAAAAAAAGAGTTGTCATTAAAATGCTCCATAATGCAAATATGTTTATTTGTTTGGTTTACTATTTTGGTGGGGTTTGGTTGTTTTTTTTTTTTGAGGTATGTATTTTTGGTAGAAAAGGGCAATTAGGAAATAAATAGAGGGACTTGAAGGCATAAGTACCACACTTTCAGCTAAAATTTGGAAAGTAATCGGGGTGCCTGGGTGGCTCAGTCAGTTAAAATCTGGAAAAGCAGTACAGTAAGTGCCCTCTTTCCCCAAAAGAGGACCTATAGTTTCTAGATGAACAGCGCTCCAACTCCTTTATGTGCCCCAACTGTTGACTAGATTGCTACCTAACAACAAAAGCAACAACAAAAAGCAAAGAATGTTTCCACCCTAGACTTTACCAGCTGGGCCTCCTCAGCGCATTTCTTTCTAACTTCCTTCAGTTGCTCCTCCAGCTGGGATTTCTGCTCATCCAGTCCATCAAGGAGTTCCTGTACGTGCTGTTTCTGGGCCTGTAGTTTTTGTAGATTAGTATTCTCCCTTTGAACTTCATCTTGCAGATCCTGAAATACAAGAATATTAACATCTATTATCTTTGGAGAGTGGGGAAGGTTAACAATTTTTAAAACCCCATCTTAAGGGAATACAAAGTCTTATTAAATATATTATGTTGGTAGATTGGAGATATCCCAGCTTTAAATACTGTCTTTACTTCAGGATTTCCTCCCTAGACTCCAGATTTTAAAATCCAGTTTGCTTACTCAAACCTATCTTTGGATGTCTGATGAGCTTCTCGAACATGTCAAAAACAGAACTCCTGGTATTCCCCCCCAAATCTGCTTTATCCTCAATCTTCTCCCTCTTAATTTCTGCGGCCAAAAAATCTAGCATGTTCTTTGACTCTTTTCTTTCTCTCACAGCTCATCTCCAAAATGTCAGCAAATTTTATTGCATCTTCCTTCAAAACATATTCAAAATCTGACCACTTTTTTCCTCAACCTTGGTCCAAGTCACCGTTCTCTCTCTTGGATTTCTGCCTTCTAACTGGTTTCCCTGCTTCTACCCAGGCTACCTACAGTTTATTTTCAGCCCAGCAGCCACTGAAAAAAAAAAATCTGTCAGATGAGTCACTTCTCTATACAAAATTCGGCACTGATTCCCCATTTCCCTTACTGTAAATACCAAAGCCCTCACAATGGCCCTGCAACTCCGACTTCATTTCCTACTGCGCTCTCCCTTGCTCAGTCACTCTGGCCTTGCTGCTGCTCCTCAAACATGCTAGACCGGCTCCTTTCTCAGGATCTTCCATTGATTATCCCTTCTTCCTAGAAAAAGGTCTTCCCCAGGTATCCATATGGCTCAAACCCTCATCTCTTTCAAGTCTTTGCTCAACTATAACCTTCTCACAGTGAGGCCTTCCTCACCAGCACCACTACCACCACCTCCCTCCCCTAAGTGTCCTTCATATATAGCAGTAGTTTTATTCATTTTCTAGAACAGCTTTATTCAGATAAACATACTATACAACTCACCCATTTAAAGTGTACAATTCAATGGCTTTTAGTACCTTCAGAGAGTTACGGAATCATCACAATTTATTTTTAGAACATTTTCAATCACCCCAAAAATAAACCCTATACCCACTAGCAAGTCACTCTCTATTTCCCTCCCAATCACCCCAGGCAACCATCAATCTACTTTCTATCTTGATAAGCTTTGTCTATTCTGGATAGTTATTATAAATTAAATCATACAACATCTGGTTTTCTATGACTGACTTCTTTGTGACTTAGCATGTTTTCAAGGCTCATCTGTATTGGTATAAAATAATTACTTTAAACATCTTTATTTTATTTTTTTATTGTTTCTTTTTTTTTTCCCGGTGTTCCAAAATTCATTGTTTATGCACCTCACCCAGTGCTCCATCCAATACATGCCCTCCATACTACCCACCACCAGGCTCACCCAGCCCCCCACCCCCTCCAAAACCCTCAGTTTGTTTCTCAGAGTCCACAGTCTCTCATGGTTTGTCTCCACCTCTGATTTCCCCCAACTCACTTCTCCTCTCCATATCCCAATGTCCTCCATGTTATTCCTTATGCTCCACAAGTAAGTGAAACCATATGATAATTGACTTTCTCTACTTGACTTATTTCACTCAGCATAATCTCTTCCAATATCATCCATGTTGATATAAAAGTTGGGTATTCATCCTTTCTGATGGAGGCATAATACATGGACCATATCTTCTTTGTCCATTTGTCCATTGAAGGGCATCCTGGTTCTTTCCACAGTTTGGCAACCATGGCCATTGCTGCTATGAACACTGGGGTACAAACGGCCCTTCTTTTCACTACATCTGTATCTTTGGGGTAAATACCCAGTAGTGCAATGGTAGGGTCATAGGGTAGTTCTATTTTTAATTTCTTAAGGAATCTCCACACTGTTTTCCCAAGTGGCTGCACCAACTTGCATTCCCAACAACAGTGTAAGAGGATTCCCTTCTCCACAGCCTCTCCAACACTTGTTGTTTCCTGTCTTGTTAATCTTTGCCATTCTAACTGGTATAAAGTGGTATCAGTGTGATTTTGATTTGAATCTCCCTGATGGCTAATGATGATGAACATTTTTTCATGTGTCTGTCATTTGTCTGTTGGCTATTTGTATGTCTTCTTTAGAGAACTGTCTGTTAGTGTCTTCTGCCCCTTTTTTGACATGATTTTCTGTTTTGTGTGTGTTGAGTCTGAAGAGCTCTTTATAGATCTTGGATATCAGCCCTTTGTCTGTAGTGTCATTTGCAAATATCTTCTCCCATTCTGTGGGTTGCCTCTTTGTTTTGTTAACTGTTTCCTTTGCCGTGCAGAAGCTTTTGATCTTGATGAAGTCCCAAAAGTTCATTTTTGCTTTTGTTTCCTTTGCCTTTGGAGACATATCTTGAAAGAAGCTGTGGTGGCTGATGTCGAAGAGGTTACTGCCTATGTTCTCCTCTAGGATTTTTTTTTCCAAATATTTTATTTCTTTGACAGACAGAGATCACAAGTAGGCAGAGAGGGAGGCAGAGAGAAAGAAGCAGGCTCCCCGCTGAGCAGAGAGCCCGATGTGGGGCTCGATCCCAGGACCCTGGGATCATGACCTGAGCCGAAGGCAGAGGCTTTAACCCACTGAGCCACCCAGGCGGCCCGCCTCTAGGATTTTGATAGATTCCTGCCTCAGGCTGAGGTCTTTTACCCATTTGGAGTTTATCTTTGTGTATGGTGTAATAGAATGTTCGAGTTTCACTCTTCTATACATAGCTGTCCAATTTTCCCGGCACCATTTATTGAAGAGACTATCTTTTTTCCATTGTATATTTTTCCTGCTTTTTCAAAGATTATTTGACCACAGAGTCGAGGGTCCATATCTGGGCTCTCTGCTCTGTTCCACTGGTCTATGTGTCCATTTTTGTGCCAGTACCATGCTGCCTTGGTGATCACAGTTTGTAGCAAAGCTTAAAATCAGGCAATGTGATGCCCCCAGTTTTTTCTTTTTTCAAAATTTCCTTAGCAATTTGGGATATCTTCTGATTCCATACAAATTTTAGGATTGTTTGTTTTAGCTCTTTGAAAAATGTCGGTGGAATTTTGAATCGGGATGGCACTGAAAATATAGATAGCTCTAGGCAGTACAAACATTTTAACTGTTTATTCTTCCAATCCATGAGCATGGAATGCTCTTCAATCTTTTTGTGTCTTCTTCAATTTCTTTCATGACTAAAATTTGATTTACATATCATAAAATTTGTCCATTTTAAGTATACAATTAAGTAAGTTTTAGCAAATATACAGTTGTACAACCATCATCACAACCCAGTTTATACCACTTCCATTATCTGAAAAGTTCCCTCATACTACTTTGCAGTCAATCCTCACTCCTATTTGAAGCCCCAGGCAACCAATGATCTGCTGTCACTACAGTTTTTCCCTTTTGTAGAAATTTCATATAAATGGAATCATACCATACATAATCTATTTTATCCAGCTTTGTAAATCTAGTCTCAGTTGTTGCATGTATAGGCAGTTTGTTCCTTTTTATTGCTGAGCAGTATTCATTGTATGGATACATATTTGATGGACATTTAGATTTCTCCCAGTTTTTGGCTATTATGAATAACAAAGCATATAATTTAAATAAATTATATTGCTTATGGTCTACTTCTTTCCACTACAACATAAGCTCCACTAGCTGGGAGTATTTGTGAGTTTTGTTCACTGCTATCTTCCCAGTTCCCAGTATACAAGAGGTACTCCATAAATATTTGTGAATGATGAGTGACATCATAAAGATGTCAATTCTTTCCCAATTAATCTATACATTCCAATGAAAATCCTAATAAGGTTTTGCAAGAAGCCTGACAAGCTGGTTCTAAAACACATTTGGAAGAAAAAAGAAAAAGAAACAGCACAGTAAAACGTAAAAGGACTTAACTGACCAGGTATTATGAACTATAGGGAAACTAAAATAATTAAGACAGTTTGGTATTGATACAAGGATAGAAAAATAGATTGAGGGAGCAGAAAACAGAATTTAGACAGAGATCTAGTATATACAGAAATAATGATGTGAAAACATGACATTAAAATTGACTGGAAGGAGGATCCTTTTGTGGTTCATAAGCATGATGATTGGGTGTTCACACGATTGTGTGACATGTAGCTCTCCTCAAACCTTGTTACAACCTCAGCACATTACCCGTCTGACACGAACTTGGAAAAAAAAAATTGACTGGAAGGAAAAAGAATTAAATATTCAGTATATATGCTGGGCATACCCATATGGTAAAGAATAAAATAAAAAGAAGACCATAAATCACATTAAAGAGAAAAATAAATTCCAGGTATATTACAGACCTAACTGTGAAAATCAAAACTTTAAAATGTATGGAAGATAAAATTAAAAAAAAAATGTATGGAAGAAAATAAAGATCTCAGTGTAGGAAGGAATTTCCTAAAGATTAATCATTTTTAAAATGCTATATTTATTTATGTACTATACTTTATGTTTAATGAAAAAAGCTATAGAAACTAAAAAATTACAGTGGGAAATCTCTGTACCCTCTGCTTAATTTTACTATGAACCTAAAACTGCTCTAAAGAAAAAAGTCTATTTAAAAAAAAAAATACAAAAACAAACAGATGAAAGCAGCCACTGCCATTATCATTACCACATGAAAGAGAGCAGCCAAGATGGCCTGATTTATATGTCCTCTAACATTTGGGGTTCCTCGCCTGGACCACAGAAAATCATTTGACCACAGAAAATCATTTGACCACAGAAAATCAATTATCTGAAGAATGGTACAATACTAGTACCACTGCAGATACACAGGAGAGAGATTGTTTATAAAAAGGTTTCTAAAAGGAATTAGGACTTAATTCTCTCCAGGAACCACAAGTGAGGAAGAAGGGATTGATAACTCTAACACATGTTTTGGCACGAGGTGGGCAGAGATCTCAAAAAAGATGAAATAAAATTGTGAACACAAATTTCTAAAAATAATGGTATCTTTTTAATAACATACTATTCA